AAAAAGTAGTTAAAATCAAGTAGATTCATAAACATATGAAAATCTTGAAAATGGACGGTGTACATAATATGTTGTAAAATGCACTATTTTTTAGACTTAAAATATTTTTATTTTTCATGGTCATACATCTCATTGTTGAGATTATAAATCAAAGGGTTTTTCAACACTAAAACTACCTTTTTCGATAGATTTTTGAGGTGCATCTGTAGCTCTACATTATAAGGTTGCAACCTTATATAAACTTTTTCCTAAAAATAATCTAAAAAAGATAGGAAAATATAAAAAGGGTGTGGTTCGTGTAGAGTTGGGGCTCTAAACAGTCAAATTAGAGCGCACCTTCAAATAGTATCACGAAATACGGTCTCCATATTGGAAATCTTTATGATTGCCTTAAAATATATTTTCATGCTTAAGAAATAATGTAGATCGAGCACATCAATGAAAACATGAAAATCTTGAAAGTTGACAGTCCACATTACAAGAAGTACTATTTTCAAAACTTGAAATCTATTTTTTTCTCATGTCCTTCCATCTTGATGTCGAGATGATCATTTGAGGATATTTAAGCATCAAAACAACCTCTTCTGATGAAATTTTTAAGGGGTCGTTCTAATTGATTGTTTAGAGTCTCAGCTCTATATAAAATACTTTTCAACTTTACCAAAATAATAAACAATATAAAAACGCATAACAAATAAATTTCTTACTTTTAGATTTTTCTGGGATTTTTTGATTTTTTTTTTGTTAAAAAAAATCTTTAGACTAGCCGGTATCTGCCTGATCTGGGCACCCGAATTGGTTCCGGGGTAGCCCATTGGCCAGGATCCGTTCCTGCGACACTGGAAGCAACCGAATAGTGAGGAACTGGTGTGACCTTTCATTGTTTGTAGACAAAGTGTTGTAGCATCCTCCCTTTGTTCCTTTATTTCCCTTTTTCCTTACCCACACTTTCACTGCACCCATGTGCGATTTATAAGCAGCAGTCGACAAGGAGACGTACTACCGGGGATAAATGGATGATTTGTGTTTTGTTTTAAATTGTTGAAGCTATGATACCATATGATTTGTGTTTTGTTTTAAACAATCCTACAAAGTATGCAATGAAAACTTTAGATAACTTAAATACGTAAAATATTAGACTGTGTATATGCTACTTATACATCTATACATGATTTAAGGTACGTTTGTATACAAAGTAAGGCATACCTATAAATAATGTTGACAAATGATTTTTCATTAGTAAAAAAATTATTTTCATATTTAATATATAATTTAAAGCCTTAAAAATAATGTAGAACAAGAAAACCTATAATCACTTCAAAATATTAAAAATTGACAGCCTCGATAATGCATTACAAGATGCACTATTTCCCAGACTTCAAATCATTTTTTTTTTTTTTCTTTTACATTTACACATCTCAAAGTCGACGTGATCTATTTGAGGGTTTTTGACATCGAAACAACCTCTTCTAATGAAATATTAAGGTGCCCCTTAATTTGATTGTTCAGGGTTTCAATCCTATAGAAACTTTACATAATGACATATGTCAATGAATAAACTGGTTATGCTAAAGTGTTGATACCTTTCCTTAAAAATACGAAAATCGACGTTCTTTTTCTGTGTAAAGCAGTGGAGGAGAAGACCCCTTACACACCCTTGTTAATAAAATAAGATGAAATATAACTCTTTTTACAACCCTAGGGCATTTGTGCAATATGGAAATCAACAATTCGTTCACTACATTGGAATATGGCTAATCAATCAGGGACTAGTTTGCCATGTATATTTTTTAGGTTGCAACCGCAGGACCATGGGCATGAATAAACTCTCTCACCACAAATGAATTATAGGTGAGAATTAGATATATGCCTCCTTATTCATTCATTTTCTCTTTATATCATTTGCAAAAGGTTCAGCTAATAATTATACATACTTAAGTGCACAAATGCACTTGCATACACTATACATGTATTCAGATGTCTGGTCTTCTAGAAATTGTCATGGGTTCTTGGACATCCTACATAACCAGAGAATCTTGTCCTTAAGGACCTCACAATCCAATCTTGGGAACCCTTCTTTTACCTGAAGAAAACAAAAAAAATTGGAACATTAGAAAATTTTAATAAGGTTAGGAAGGGTTAGGGCTTGAACCCGACTAATCCAGATATCAAATCCATGTATATAAAAAAGTATATTATCGATAAGAAGATAACCATATAGCCCGGGTCAGGTCTGGGTCCATTGCTACCCCTATTTCAAATTAGTTATTGACTCCTCTCTCTTTCTCTCCCCTCCCCCTCCCACCCCCACCCCCACTCCCAATAAAATTAAAAATTAAAAAAAAAAAAGAAAAAAACAAATAATAATTTTTTTTGTATCCCCCAAGAAAAATAATAATAATGATTAGTGCTTTGCTTTGTATTTTTGAAAACATATTACAGAAAACCACAGAGATACACCATTGAGCATTTTATGCATCCATTTTTTCTCTTGTTATAAAGTGCGGAAGAAGGGTCAATTTTCAATTTTGACTTTCTCATTCTATAAAACCCCAGAAGGACATGAAGGGTCACAAATTGATGGAGAAGCAATTTCCGATTTTGATCCTCCATCATAACGACTGTAGATTTTAAAAAAACTCTATGATAAGAGCTATTAATTTTTTTAACATCAATATCTCAAATACTTATATTAAAAAAACTAATGTCTCACAATTGAACTCGTCAAATAACGGTGTTGGAGTGAGATAATGGCGTTTGGAAACACTAATATCGTACGAAAACTTAATGCATATTTGATATTAACATTAGAAAATATCAGTATGCCACGAAGCTTCGTGACTTAATGAGATATTAGTATTAGAAAGTACCAATAGCTCACGAGGAGATTCATGAGATTTTGGTATTAGATCAACCTCTCACAAAGTGACTTATAGAGATATTAGTGATTGAAACTACCCAATATATTTTAATTAGCAGATATTGGTTTGTGCGTGAAAATGCTAATTTCTCTAGGGTATTAAGAGTGAGATGTTGATATTTAATCCCTCACATAAGTGGTATTCTTAAAAACTAATTTCTTTTTAATGGAGGGCAAAATTTGAAAACTGCACATTCAATCTTTTCTAACCCATATTAACTCAGTGTGACATTATCTTTTGAAAAGCTTGTAGTTACAGCCGTCTCTTGAAAAATTTATGAAATTGGGAAAAACAAATTGGTGAAATACTAAACAGTGCATTTGTTTGATAGGTTCTTTTATTTGAAAGGTCCTATATTCAATATCTTAAATGCGAATCCTTTTTAAAACGTCTTGAGTTCCATTCTTAACACATGTAGATCTTTTACCTGTTTAATGAAAAAAATAAAATAAATAAATATATATATATATAATTAATGTACTTTGTACTTTGTGTTACATGAGGAAGGACCTGAAGAAGGAGATTGTAAACAACTCCATGTCCACCAATAGAAAAACTAGAGGCATCCGTGGCCATGAGCCCCTCCTCCTCCAACCCTATCAAAATCTTTGAGAATTGGCCCCTTTTCATTTTGGACGCACAGATTTGTACCATCATTTCTCCCTCATCAAGCCGGCAAATTGTGATCCTTGGTACTGAATTCCCTTGCACATTCCCTCTGTTTGCGTTGGGGATCCGATGGTTGTCTTGAACCGGAGCTCGAGCTAAGATTTCCTCCCGCCGTTGAATCAGGCTGTCCACTTCCTTTTGTAGCTCCGGTATATATTTCAAGACCCGGGTAACGGTAGTTGGGATACTCATCCTCTTCTGTGAAATTTTACAGATTAGTTTTCAACTTAGATTAAGAGAGTAAACACCCCTCTCTGTGTGTGCGTGTGTGTCTATGCGCGCTTGCACGCATTCACGTAAAAGACCATTTAGTTATTTAAGACTTAAAGAAGAAAATTAAAAAATACACAAAAAATTTATAATTCTCAACCATGATAATCTCATCATGAGGTTTCGAAGATGACTTAAAATTCCAAATGATGGACCTTGTTATCCCAATAATAGATCAAGAAAAAGAAATCTCAGAGAGAGAGAGAGCCAATTGTTGCCCCAGGATAATTTTATGTGGCTATTTATTTGAAATAAAAAAACATAGTTTTATCTTCCAAAAATTGAAATAAGAGCTACTATTTTCTTGAAAATTCCAATAGGTTGTCATGCTTAAGACCATGAAAGTAACCCCAAGGAGAAGAGCCTAGCTAATGAATTTACCCCTTGTTCAGATTCTGGCAACAACGATCGCAGGCTCGAGTAGAGGGAATTGAGCTTTTTCCGACGATCCCGCTCGTTTGCATTGTGGGTGAGCTTCTTGACATTCGAAGTTTGCTCACTCTCAGTATTTTCTGAAGAAACTTGAAAAAAAGGTTGTGAGATATGAGGATCTCCATGGTAGGAGAAATCACCATTAAAACTCTCCACATTCAAGGGAGCTAATTGCTCTTCTGATGGCCATGAAAATGTTGTTGGGTACACGCAAGAAGGTGATAAGGCCAGCATGGTGAGTATCTTAAGGCAGTTTTTTCTGTTTGGCTTCTTTAAGGGAATAAGGTTGGGATCATGAATATATATACAGGGAAAGGGCCACCCCATGTAAGTTGATTTAGTTTTATTATCTCTATATGTTATTTAAACTAATCATGATTATTATATGAATGACAGAAAACTTCAACTTGCACTTTGTTTTTCATTTTGCTTCACTTTGTTTATGTCCCACCGGTTACTAGTAATGAAATGGAGATTTCAGCATTTCTTTAATATTAAGTGTGAAGGACCTCAAATTAGGAATCTAGTGCAAATTATTCTCCTCTTAAATGTGTTTTAGTGTTTAAATAATAAGTGCATGCTATCCAGAAGTATAATGTGATTTTGCGTGTTTGCCTGAATTAGGATCTTAGGAGTTCCCGTTTTCCCTTTTTTTTTTTCTTTTTTTTTTTTTTTTTTGTTTTTAAATCTGAAATATTGAGATCCACCTAAGTATCACCTAGCAAGTATTTGAAAGAAAATAAAAAAGAAAATATATTTTAAGTTCTTTAATAATTAGATCTGACCATCCTAGAATTGGATAGTCTTTATTCATCATGTGGACATCATGTTTTTAGGCACATACAAAGTGCATTTGGTATTATTTTTATTTACTTTTTTTAAATTGGACGCTTGGTTACATTTCCAAAACATAGAGAGCTAAAAGGTACTCCTAGATTTTGTGTTTCGTGTGAAGGATGAATAGAGGAAATGCTCTCGCCGGACCACAGAATATTTGGATTTAAATAATTGACTAAGGGAGATCAGGGTAGATATGGTCGGTTCTTGATAATCGTCTTTTTCGTAACGGAGTTCAACTATAGGTAACGGTATTGTCTACTTTAACAGAAATTTGGATTTAGGAAAAATGGATAAAATCTGGATGAAAGGCAAAAGAAAAAAAAAAAACAGGGAAAATGGAAGATAACATGCAATATCAAAGAAAAGTGAATATTATTGTTTGCTCCAATATCATTTTGCTTTTTCTTTTTTTGAAAGCTCAGTCGGGATGGGGTATTCTATTCGAGATAAAAATGAAACTTAAGATATCATATTGTGGTGACCTACTACCCTGACCACCTAGCATTTAAAGAATTAGTTTTATACTTATTTTCTGTTAAAAAGATACTTGAAGCCTATTTAACATGCTCCGCATCATAAGAGATATGAAACACATGCAACGAGCGTTTTGATTCATGCATTCATTTACGTTACGAAGAGTGAGCACCGTAATATCAGCCGTTATGTTACACAAGGGTTGAAACGTGGTCCTGCCTATTTTTCAAGTTGATAGAGAAGTTAGGCTTTAGACAATTATTAATAATGAAGCATTCGTTAGGCCTAGTGGTTGAGGACCACTTTTTAGTCATGAGGCCGCTACGTGCCAATGAACGGTTGGATGTTTATGGAAAGTGGGCCCTCGCATTGGAGTCGCATAATGGACTAGTAAACTCCCGTCCCTCTCCATCACCGTCCAAGATGTGTGCTTGGAAGCTATGCATCACATGACCAGGGACTTCCATTATCACAAAGATTACAAATTAGGTTTCCTCCTTTAATTGGCTGTGTGGTAACATACACCGAGGAAGCATACGATGGTCCGCCTACATGCACCATAAAATGACTAAAATAGCCCTCATGCGCTGTTATTGGTCATTCCCGACAATCTATACAACCCATTAGATGACAACAATAGTTTCATCAGGAATGGGGTTGGGGTCATGGTGGAAGCACTCCCGGTGTAGGATTTCATTCTTATCAAACGCCTTCAAAAACTATTTACAATTTAAAAAATGAGTAGAGGCTCGTCATCCCCATTGAATTGCCAAAAAAAAATAAAAATAAACAATTGTTTCACATGAGCTAGACTGCGTTTGTACAACATGCGGTCCAAAGGTATAAAGCATCCATATTTAAGATGGATGCAAATAGGTGGTCCATCTAAAAATAATTGTAACTAACGTCTAAATGTTTTCTTAATATAATTATGGGCAGCGATTTCATGCAATGGCAACCACACTTCTAGAAAACCATGTGTTGTGGTATTTATATGACCTAAAATTTTACACATACACTCTCTTCATCCGAAAAATCAATCTAATATATATGCACATACACTCTCTTCATCCAAAAAATCAATCTAATATATATACATATATATATATATATAAAATTCACCCTATATATAATAAAAATTGAGTCCCCTCCAACCATGAATCTAGACCTTCTATTTGATGAATTTCAAGATCTAAGACTTTATGACTTCAAAATAATTTTTATTTTTTAATATTGTTAAACTAATGATAATAAAATATCTAAAAATTTTGGAAGAAAAAAAGATCATTCTAAAGCCTAAATCTAATTATCTCATCAAAATGGACGGTTTATGTTAATTAGACTAACAAAATACTTCTTAAGTTGTGTTTTCAAAATTTTCTTTTACGTGATTGTTCATTGTTCAATAGAATGAAAATAGCGTATATTTTAAAATCAGATCAAACAAATAGCCCTAACATAGTTTTTGAATGTTGTTGCATCATGTTATTGTACAACTGTTGCCTGAAATCATTGTCCTATAAGTATTATCTTTAATTTTTTAAATTTATTTATTTTTTCATTTTCATTATATCCATGTTAAAGATTATATATTCTCCAAAAATTAGGATCATATTATAGTTAAAAATATATTTATTGCCAAGCATATATTTCTACATGTGCAGGATTGGCCGCACGCTGACCGCGTCCTTATGATCATATAGGATAGGAATCACTTGATATGGATTAGGAATCGGTAGGACGATTCCTATTTATCAAAAACCCAAGAACCGCTCGATTCTTTGACAAAACGGGTCAATTTTGTTAGGGAACTGGGCCAATCTGGCCCCACCCGTTTATTTTTATTATTTTTTCAATTTTATATTTTTCCCCATATTTTTTTTTTATTGGCCGATTCACTGGGCTGGATCACCCATCTGCCGATCTAGACTGCCAGTTCACCGATCTAGACCATTTTTACAAATAGGTGATGTGGGTAACCATTTTTTTAAAGCCTAGGTTAAATGGTGATAAAGATAGAGGGGGTCCTGCATAACATGACATTGATGGTGAGCATCGCTCCTATCACTTTCTAATCCATTAATTGGATGGTGATAACCCTCATGACCATTTTCCCTTTGTGGTCATCACCAATTGGACTATGAAACCTGTAGTCTAATCCTTGTATTAATTTTCTTTATGTTATATGACAGAAAAAATTTATATAAGAAATTTATATAAGGTGTCTCGACCTTATATTGTACGGGTAAGGAGCACCTAAAAAATCCACTAGGGAAGGTTGTTCTTATGTTGGAAAACACTCAAATCGATCATCTCAACCTCGACATTCATAGACATGAAAAAAAGGGGATTTCTAGTCCTAAAAATAGTTCAACTTCTAACACATTATCTGAACTGTTTATTTTCAATATTTTCAAGTGTTTATAGATCTGCTCGATCGTCACCATTTCTGAAACTTTTAATTTATAATTAGGGGCAATAATAGATTTTCATATCATCATAAGGCATAGCGACACCAAAACTACATTTTTTGCATAGTTTTGAGGTGTACCTTACTTCAATAATACAAGGTTGACACCTTATACAAACCTCCCCCCGTTATACCACATGATAATTAAAAAAAAACACTAAAAATACCATCATTTTTTTTAAAAAAAACTAAAAATACCATCATTTAAAAAAAAAAAAAAAAGAAAACTGAGAATACCCTTACATCATAAATAAATTTTAAGGTGGTCCTAATTGGCCTCTTAGCTAATTTAATTGTCTCTTGCAAAGGACTAAAGTTGCTTGAGTTGGCACGAGCAATGCGCATTCTTGGATGTCGTTACATGGGTTTGGAACGTGGGTGCATGCGCCAACATAGTTCTTATTGTGGGAAACACGAGCCACGAATATCTTCTCATTTATTATAGTTTATGGGCCTCCTTTCCTTTTCATCCCAAGATTAGTGTACACTTATAATAGAGTGTTCTATTACAATGTCAATTATCAATTTAAGCAAACATTAAATATAAAGTTCCACCTCGTTGACTTCGTAACATGTCCCTCTCAAGTGTGCATTTTAAACAAATCTCACAAGTTGCTCCCACCTAGTAAGGGTGCCGATCGATCCAACCAGACCTAGGACCCGACTGGTAGACCTGACCTCGGGTTTAGTTGAGTCCAAATTTTGGACCTAAAAAGTCGAGTCCGAGTCTAAAATCATGACCCAAATACAATTTGGGTCCGGGTCCAGCTAGACCCGACCCGTTGCTACCCCTACCATCGAGCAAGTGTATATAGATGGTTAAAGCTGGCCTATTATCAAAAATAAAAAATAATGGAAAAAATACAAATGAACGAGAGAGAGTCTTTAGCTGGATGATTCTTGCTTCAAGGGCCAGGGGTCTTGGTGTTAACTTGTGAAATCGCCCCGTATTTTCATTTTCTAGTGGCAATCTGAATCGGCAAAGAAGCAATATTGTTTCTCCCAATTCAATCCACATGATTCCTGAGTTATACTAGGCTACACCTTATAAAGAAATTTAAAAAGATATAAAAATAAAAAATTGGAAGTTTTGGGGTTTTTTTATCCAGAATCATCCACTTCCAGATCTTGATCCAACTTGGGCTATTCGGAGTTATAACAGTGATTTTCGAATGCTATTTATTATATTCGAATCCATGTGAGAGAGAGATATATTTGCCATGCAAATGACTGCACATTCATCAAAGTATAAAATGCATTTAAGAGTTTTCTTGGGATCAATTTAGCAAAGTCCCCCTTAACCACAATAAATTATAGAACTAAGCATTTCACTGTCAAATACACAATCTTCGAGGTTCTTGGATCACAAAACGGTATCGTTTTCTTCAAAGTGTAGAAGACGTGCGACTCGTAAAAATACCAAAATATAATTGAGTTTTGACTAGCACACTCCCAAAATACATAACAGATGCTTGGTATACTCACCTAGGGAGCATTGGTATAA